ACCTGCCTTTCAGCCTTCCATCTCGTGCACAAACTTATCCCGTGTCCTCATTGGTCATGTGCGCGTTCGTGTGTGTTGGAGGAGGGGCTCTGTAAGGAAGTCTGAAGGAAGGGTACTTTCAAATTCTAGCGCACTCGAGCTGGTTTCTCCATTCTTACCTACCCCACCTTTATTTAAAAAAAGATCAACAACAACATTAGATGTACTGTTATAGGAAACAATTTAGATACACTTCTCTTAGGTTTTTTTTCTTTTTCTGACCTGCAGCTGGTATTTGTTCTCTGTATGACAGAAATGACCTTTGAAAACACACATTTGGTCGAAAATTCAGTGCGACAAACTGGGTCATGACTGTGTTGCATGCACAGTAGACATTTTGTTGAAGCTTCCTCTTGTAGTGTTATGTATTATAACACAACACGTTCACCATGAACTGAATATAGAATGATATTACATACACAGTGAGGCTAAAGGCCAACTGAGCACACTGAAACCACTGAAACCTGACGAAATTCAAAACCGCAACCACTCAAAAAGATTTGTTGTGAAATGCACATCCTGCAGTTCTTCAGTTTCATTCTGAAACATAATGCTTATTAACTCTGGGTGTGTGGGTGGGTGTTTCCAGCTAGAGGTGGTGTTGGGTGTGCTGGGGAATATTAGAACGCTGCAGTGTGAAGACAACCAGACTTATTAGAGGGAAATAAAGGATTTTGTTACGAGACGTGTCAGGAGATGTTATCAGTAAAGGTGGGGTACATGTGATTACATTTAGTAAGGCAGAGGATCATTTAGAAGACTTTTCTTCTGAGGGCCAAGCTCATGGGTTTCTGTGCCAAAATGTCAACAACAACAAAATATCTGGCATTTTCAAGAGACATTGAAATTCAACACTGACTTCCTTATTGCAATTCTCATTGAATTGTATTTACTGTTAATTAACTATTAGTATGACTCTAACTCAAGTCTCAAGTTACGTATTTCAGTGGAAAGCCTGATGTGAGAGCCGAACATCCCTCAGCAGATTTGAACTCATTTTGAAGCTCTTGAAGTCAAACAGAAAGGAGGTGAAAACAATAAAGAGTTGATATCTCCAAACAGACCTCTGCCTATATTGCTTCCTGCACCTTTCTAAATCCGGCAGCAGAATAAGTTCCAAGAGAAGTTTCCCTGCCACATATTTTCAGTTATTTCTTCAATGATTGTAATATCTTTTCCACAGGTGCATAGCCTTCAGATTTAGGGCAACCAGATGATAGATGAAAGTGTTAGAAGTCCTATTTTCTGCTGTTACAGGTGTGTGCAGATCTTTTCTTGCTGTTCCTTATCTTGATCCGCCTTTGCTTCTGGGAATATGTGTGTCTGCTGTTACGTTTTGGCAGCTAAAACAGAGTTACAGTTTGTCCTGCCCACGCACAGCCAAGGTGCCAATCTGTTTTGAATCTGCTTTTTTCTCTCCAAGTGATAACTGACTTTGATCCCAAATCCTGGCATCTTGAAATATGTGTGTATGTTAGAAAGATATAGAAGGAGCAAGGGCTGATTCCAAACCCTCATCCGTCCTATTTAGTCTTAATCTGCGCATAGTATCGCCAAAACAGGATAACTCTGTGGTGTTTCTTTGGCATAACATCATATTTTTTGTAATCTTTTACCAAATCAATAGGTTGCAATATGATTGAAACAGTACTTCTAAAAGGGAAGCTGCAGCATGAAGCCTGTTAGTCTACAAAGTACTTTAGTAAAGTCTGCTCTACACTTGCCGGTCATTATATTTTTGGCCTCTAGAGGGGACTAAAGCTGAATGTTTTCTTTATGATCATGCCTTTCAAACGGATGACAAACAGCAGTATAAAGAGGCAGATTGCACATTAACGGCCAACAGTTAAACAGTGTCCACTCTGACAGTGAGTGTACATGTTACAACATAACTTTACTTGTTCATACGTTATTGGAATAAACCTTTGATTCCAAATCAATTCAACATTTGATATCAGTCTTTTAGGTATTGGAATGAATGCCATTGTAACAGTAAAATTAGGTTAGGGTTAGGGTTAGGGTTATGTTATGTTATGGTTCTATGATGTCAGAGTTTAAAAAGGATATGCCACCACAACAAAGTCATAAGGCATATGGAAAACATATGGTAAGGGACTACTTTCTCTCCCCCCCTCCCATCTCTCCCCTCTTCTTTAACACCCCCGCCCCCCCACACATACACACAGACACAACAAATCCAGCACCAGTCACTTTTTGTGCTTCGATGGAAAATATGTTGCACTCTCATTTGCACTATGTACACTATTTTTTTTTATATATATGTTTTGTGTTTTTTTGTAAATTATTGAGTGTTCTTGTATTTTAATGTGTTATTTTATACCTCAGGACTGTGGGAAACAGTATTTCGATCTTTCTGTGTACAAACATATTTTGAGATTGTCAATAAAGTTGAATTTGAATTAACTTGACTACTTGTATTGAAAATAATTAATAATATTGTGCAAAGTCTGGAATAAAATGTCAACACAATATGTGGCCAAGACATTGACTGACTCCAGTTACGTTTTTTGGGGCTTTTCCTTATGATTTCTAATGAGGATGTTATTTTTTGTCAGTATTCTTTGTCAAAAATGGCATAAAATGTTAACTAGGAAGTTGAATTTCTATTTCAATATTCTCTTTTCTTCATAAGAGAACAAATCTTTTCATGCCCTCAAGCAACTTCTTATGCAGGCCCGGCTCTAGCTGCAACACTCATTGTTTCCCTCTGCTTTGTCAGCTGCTTTGCCTCCTTTAAGACATCGCTGTGCTGACATCGAACTGTAAGAAGTTCCATAGTGTTACTTTTTGAATACCCTACCACCACAGTGATAGTTGTACAGCTTATTTAGATTAACCATGTATTAATATTGATCAGAGGAGCTATAAAGGGCCGGTTTATGCGATGTGTGACTTTTCAAAATGCTACCTGGCTTACTTTCAATTCATGTGCGAGCATTAGTCTCCAAATGACAACCCCAATGGGTTTCATGACTATGTATTCATCGGGCACGATCAACGTGAGGAAAGTACAAGCATGGCAGAGGAGATCAATCCTAACCGACAATAGGATCCCTTTTATTAAAAAACTTGCCTCCTTTCCTGAAGTACATCCAGAGCTGAGTCTTCTTTATATTGGAGTCTCCCTATACCTCACTGAGCGTGATTAAATATCCTTTCTTCTCTCCTCTTTTTGTGTCTCCCCCTTCCCTCTTCTCTTTTTGCATTCTAGTACGTGTTAATATTTCTGATGTTGTTGTTGTCCACTTTGGTAAATTAAAAGAAAAAGAAAAAATAGTATTGGAGGGTAGAAAAACCACAGAAACCTTCATAGACAGACAGGGGAAAGTTCCTATTAAAGGTCACCTATTATGCAAAATCCACATTTTCATGCCTTTTATACATAAACATGTGTCCCCTTTTGTAAAGAGATTCTGGAAGTTTCAGGAAAAAAGATTCGCTCACTTTTTGTCCTGATCCATTTCTATAAAAATGAGCTGATCAGATTTTGGCCACTTTATGATGTCATAACGATGTTTTGGCTTGTGTTACCATTAGCCAATCACCAACCAAGGTAATGCCCCCCCTCCACCCTATCACCTGAATCTCCTCCTAGAGTACCATTAGGCGCGTTCACATCGCAGTACTTTTCCCACTTTAGTTCCAATATAGTTCCGAAATGTCACGTTCACACCAAAAAGAGCCGGAACTAAAATTAGTTCATGAGAACCTTTTTACCTCCTTTTCAGTCCCTGCTAGAGAGCAGGGACTTTCGTGGGAGAAAAAGGTTCCTATGTCTGATTGGCTGGGTGGATTGCAAACCACGCCCCGTAAAACTCCCAAAGAGTTTTGTGAAGCCGCCATTTTATTATCTTCGCATTAGCATTATTAGCATTAGCATTAGCCCAGCGCACAAACAGAGAGAGACTAACTTATGGCAACACAAAAGAAAACATGGGAGCGGTGGAGATGAGGAGGTGTTGGCGTTCTGGCGATTTACTCGGAAGGCTTCAGTAGAAGCTGCTGGGACTTCTACTACTTCTACTACTTCTAACTGAAGCCAGTCCCCAACTCTCAGGGACTTCCGACCGGGGACTCCAGGTGGCGTATACGCCGTGGTAGTTGTTTGCGGCCTGCCAGTAAACCCAACGCAGAAGAAGAAGAAGTGACGTCAGCGGCTTCATTTGCGTAATCTTCCCTCAGGGACTTATTCCGGTGTGAACGCGATCTGTACTTAGTTCATGAGAACTAAAGAGTTCTCATGAACTAAGTTCTCATGAACCTTTGTGGGAAAAGTACTGCGGTGTGAACGCGCCTATTGAGTTCTTTTTAACTAAATATCTCTCAGAGGGGCGTGGGGAGTGGCTCCTTATTTTCATCTAAAGTAACAGACAGAGAATCAGAACTTTTGAAACAGGGCTGAAACAGAGGGGATTATGGGATGCTGCAACGCATGATCTGTTTGGTATTTGGAGCCAAACACTTCAGAGACACGTTCTGTATATATCTGAGACCTATAATATATTGATGTAAAACAGTATCATAGGGGAACTTTAAGTAAACTGTTTACCCTTGCTTGTACCGAGTGCACCACTTGTAAGGAAAACAATGTCCTTGATTGGTCCTAAATTTGGCTTCTTCTCATAATAACCGAGCACGTCTCCCTCTGCTCCCAGTCCTGCGTGGAAGAACAGAAGAAACTATTTGTTTGGCTGTACTCTGCGAGACTGAAGTCATTGTTTCATCTGACAGGCAGCTTTGCTTGTTCTCCGTAACAACCTCCCCCCCACTCCTGTCTGCAGCAGGAGGCCTGTGTAATTACATCCAACCCGATCCGCTCTCTCTTACGCTTGATATCACTGCTGACATCGACTTGCACAGCCCCTCCTCTCTCTCTCTCTCTCTCTCTCTCTCTCTCTCTCTCTCTCTCTCCCCAGCGAGTGTGCAGTCCAGCCTAGACTTCAAATGTGTGTGTAGTGACAGCCGAGCAAATGGAGAGGATGAGGGTGAGACAGAGGCAGGGATGAGAGAAGGGGATAAAGTACGGTAGACAGCTGAAGAGGGAACTGTTATCCTTAAAAACGGAAAGCAGAGGATGAAGCCTGACGGAAATGATAAAGGAGGATTTTAAATCAGAAGAGAAACTGTCGGCTGAGTCTGCGAGGTAAGTCAGCAACAAGTATGAATCTGAGGCTTTGCATGTGACAGCACAACAAATAAAAGACAAGTAAACATCCAGACAGTAGGACAGATGTTTTTCCTGTGACGTAATACGGCACTAAATTAAGTAATGATACACAAGGAGGTCTGAAGTTGGGATTGCTCAGACACTCAGACACTCAGGGGAAGTTATAAATTGTTTGTGTTGAAAAACAATCCTCCTCAATCTCTAGAGGAGAAACTGGATGAAACACTCTTTATCAAATCCACCTGTCACACACAGCAGGGTTTCCTATTAGGGTTGTGGGTCTGTAAACTCCACTGAGGCAGGGAGATCTGATCAACAGACCCGACTGATTGATAACAGGTGAGAAGGGTCTGGGTGTGATGGTGCTGTCAACGTTTCCAGACAGCTCAACGTAGACATGTTTGGGGTTTTCGTGGAACCCAGAGAGAAGGAGACAAACAGATGAAGAATTGACTGATAGGGAGAATGAGGTAATTCAGTCAGGGACTCATCTCTGTGAATCACAAGCTATCCCTCACAGGATGTGCCTGCACTCACGCTCTTCGCCACTTATTTATTAATTCAGAACAAACCCTCTGCAATGAGAACTAGGGCCACTTTACCACTGGGTTGTTTTCCAATCGCACATTAAGGCCAATTGTAAGTCGATATACAATATATCTGTCACTATGAAAGGCTTCCAGTCTCTTTGAGTTATTTGTATGCTAACTTTTGTATTTCTAACAGAATGACATCCACTCGAGAGGAGAACGTTTTTACAGCATTAACAGTAATAGTAAACACAATTAAATGTTGGTGTCTTTATTGCATAGAGGAGATGCTCTTTTGTTTTAAATCAATCCGTCTCAGCATGTGACCAAGACTCACTCTATAACTCAAATCTCAACATGAGAATATTTGAATTCTCAAAATAAGTGATATATTTTTATTTTTAATAATTTGCAACTTCTTGCCACAAATAAAGTAACCTAACAAATATTTGGGATTTTTAAATAAGCGCTGGCCCCTGACAGGTACGGTAAACACTATTTGTCGTCTGTAACATATACGTTTATTGTAAACTTTATCGCACTAAAAGATTATGTAAATGTATGGATATGCTAATTTACCAAACGGGAACATAATGGGAGAGAATTTCAATGGTTTCTGAGATTGTGTTTCCATATTTGCATACGGGCCGCCTGAAGCGCAGATGATAATTTGAAGGGTTACGAGGAATTAGACCTGTGTGGTAGAGAGGGAAAGTGCATTTAAAACAAAAGCTATGCAAAATCTGATTCAACACAGGATGTGGGCTTATTTTGGTGAAACACTAGTACACACTGCAAAGTGCGGCTGACTGCTGTGTGGTTGGAGGCTTGCACAGAACCAATGGGATGTTGGCCTATACTGACCCCCACCTGTTGCCCATTAATCCCATTAAAGCATTGCCGTTTCCTAGAACTGTGTATTGTTTGTGTAAGTCTGTGATCATTTAGACTTTATTAGGAATATGAAGTGCGAGTACAATATATATTTAAATAACAGGGCTTCTAAACCTGGACTTTGTCACTAAATGGACACAAAACGAGCTAATAATGTCAGTGGTATTTCGGTTTTGCAGATTGCGCTTTTGCTTTAATAGGAGTAACAATGTATCATTTTCTGTAGCATGTCTGATAATTGTAGAATTACATGTCTGAAATGATTCATTTCATTCATTGAATACACAGGATATATATACATCCCCAAGACCAGACTCTCTAAGGAACTAAACAGAGGGGAAAATTGAAAAAAAATAATAATTTCATAAATGGACTTTATGATACAAAACATCCTTTGTTGACCAGCATTTCTCCAATTTATTAGAACCCGTCTGTGACCTGATGTCTTTTTCAGTTTGGTCACTCATTTCAATTGACAGTAAAGCCTAAAAAATAAGCACTGAAAGGTTTCTGTGACTAGTTTGTCTTTGAACAGTTTCTCATCACCTGTTCAGATCCTTGACGCAGCTATCTCTCTCTGCATGTGATGAATTTGTATATTTAAGGTTATATAGAATTTGTTAAATATGTTGTTCTGATGTCCCATCTCTGCTTGTGTTCAATAACTACCAAATGTTTGTTCTTCTTTTACAGTTCTTCTTTTGGAATTGGGATCTTGTTATAGTGCAAAGGAGAGCACTCAGCATTTCCAGAAACTGCTGCGGGGCTCATCTGTATGGTGGAGCGGTGGTGTGTCACCTTGAAGAAGCTCAAAAGAAAAACGGAGCCTGGACGAGCGCACATCAATCTCTTAAGGGAAAGGTACAGACAGACTTTCCTGCTGTTGTCGAATCTAAATATTTAGCAAAACACAATGTGCATCCTGCCAAGGAACAGTCCCTTTCTACAGTTACAATACATATTGATTTTCCCGCCTCACATTAAGGCATTGAAAAACCTGACGAGAATACAGTAAGTTTACTCCATCTGTGGACATGAGCAATCATAATCGAATGGATTCAAGCTTCTTCAAATAAGTATTAAAGACGTTGTTGATGCTCCGTCTCATTTCATAACAATAAACTATGGACATTATGGAACCAACTTGAGATCTAACATCTGAGTTGACCGACACTGCAGTCCGGGCCTTTACGATGGAATCTGAAGACAGCGTGACAGGACTGTCCACAGCTGCGTTGGTGGCCATCGCCTGCAACGCATTAGTTGCCATCCTCCTACTTCTTCTCTGTCTGATCCTCTACCGAGCCTGCGGGGTCCCCTCCATCCCGGAGAGGCTGCCGGTGCTGGCTCCGATCGAGGGAGAAACCCAGCCGGGGAACGAGCACAAGTACCTGTTGACCTCCTGACTGCAGAGCGAAGAGTCAAATGTAGCAACAAGTGATCGTCTCGGTGCACACCTCCACTGGAGAGAGGACTGAGGGGGCAATGTGACCTGTTAGTGTTACTTATTCAAATTAGCTTCTGGTCTGAGTGGCTGTGACTCACAAAAATGGCGAGATTGAATTATGGTGGAGTGAGGAGACACTTCTTTCAACCATCACTTATTAGATCATTTAGCATGGAGGAATGGCGATGCGTTCAACGCACAGTTCGACAAAAATTGCATGGCCATAAATATGGATGCTTGATTCAAAACGGCCACAATAATGAAATGTTCCTAACACAAAGAACGAATAGCATGTTGTTTTAGGTTTCTAAATATATCCTCTTATTCTCGAAAAAAAAACAAGCACCCCAGTATATTGCTGAGAGCATGGACTTGAGCTTGTGTGTGTGTGTGTCATTGTCACTCATAAATACGGGCGATCTGTGCGGCATAGCGCCCTGCTGAGGGTGTTACATAAGGACTGGAGAGGCTTGGATGAGATTTGTTTCCTCTTCAACACGGCCCTCACACTGACATCTGCTTGTGGCTGTACGTCATGGCCCACTCAATCTGGACTGAATCACAGGACGGACACTTGAAGGGATCAATCATGTGGAATTCTACAGATGGCGAACAGAAGCTGTGCACGTTTTCCCACCACACGTTATCAATACTTGAGCATTTAATCACGATCACTGGAGATGCTACTTCAGACTCAACAAGGCATGTTGTAGAGTTAAAAAGACATTATGATGTGTATGTTAAACTTTACCTTCAAGGCTTTCAGCTAACTAGAGTTACACACTGATGCTGCGATTACCTTTGGAATTTGGAAAGCTGGGAATGAAGCAAACCCGAGATGACTGCGTTTTAGTAAAGTAGGTTGGAAAATAAAATTCAAGTTAGCTTAAATAGCAATACCAGATTATGACAATGCCTTACTCCAAATCTAAGGCGATATCCAGTGTCGTATCAAAATATTGATATATTGTCAAAGCCTACTTTAAGAGGCGATCCAGGCGAAAGCTCTCACTACCATGCAACACAACAAAAGCAAGCAAGTAGTAAATATGTCTAATAAAGATTCTGCTGTGTGTGTAGAGAAAGATAATGTCCAACTTTGCCAGTCATAGTGCCAACATTGCACTGTGACTGACAGCAAAGTACACTGCGTTATTACAAAAACATTCATCACTGAAATATTTCTACAGGTACACTCTGGGAATACTTCTGTTGTTGCCATGACATTGTGACCTCTGATTCTAACTACTGGACCACATTCCCATTCAACCCAAATATGACGAAACAATCAACAAAACTTAAAATAAAACCAACAGTTCTTTGCCCAAACCTGCATAATGCTTCTTATTACCTCAGTAACAAGGTAACTGGTGCAGCTGAAATCTCATTTTAACCCCAGTGCCAGAGTAATCTGTTACGCATTGTCTGTAAAAAATAAGGTGATGGAGCAGCCATCGAAGTAATGAATCACACTTAAGGGAGAGAGTGCTGCATGTGTTCGCAGGAAGATGTGAAGGGCAGAGGATTTCTCTGTAGCAGAGGGGGGGGGAAGAAAGACAGCACTGTGGCAGCATTTGATTCCAGTTGAGCTTCAGAGCACTGGGTGGTGCTTTACTGAAGGACAAGATCATTAGGACCGAGAGGAATGGAGGAAAAGGCAAAATAAAGATAGAGACAGCCATGACTCAAAGCAAAGTTCTCTCCGTAGATGGGATATTCAAAGGCTTCGAGCTGGACCGCTGCCCAGGACGGCGTGTGCCATCCAAGATAGTTTGTCTGGATATGTTCCATAAATGCTTAATCTATTACGCTCATATATCTCTAACTCGCAGTAACTCACCCCCTTCACTTTTTAGCCTAATTAACTTGTACAATACATACTGAACGTGTTTAATACATCCTGCAGAAGAGGTCAGTCAATGCATTGGAATTCTAACGTTGCCTGTTTGACATGTACTGCAGTATGAATAAATGCATTATTAACTGAATAGGATTAATGTTTTGACAGCTTAAGAGAGATGACATGAATTTTTTTTTAATAAACTCAAACAAATCGTTTTTTCTTGAAATGCTGTTTACTGTTGCACACACTGAGCAACTGAACCGTCTTTTTTATGAATGATAAAGAAAGATTGTACCATGTTGCCGTGTTAAACTGTGCTTTGCTCCGGTTCCCTCAGCAGACTGAGGAGCTTCTCCATCTTGGCTTCTTCCATTTCTGAATCCTTAGGCTGATCCTGACCCTTCTTGACCTACGCATACGTGCGCGCACACACACACACACACACACACACACACACACACACACACACACACACACACACACATACAATAATTATATTATGCTTACCAAGCTATCACACACCCAGCAGGCAGGCAGTTAAACAGAGGAGAACACAACACAATCAGGCAGAAATTGAAATGGATGTAAGGTCAATGGCAGCAGAGTGGTTATATTACTCCATTATATAATCATTTCTGTCCACCGCATTGTCAAATGTTCTTTTAAGACATGGTGTTACTGCCTAAAGGGCCCATCAAAGAGATGTTACATCGTGTGGTGTGTTGTGATTATTGGTGCATTACATACTCCTGTGTGTAGAAAAGCACAGACACATTTAACGGGCCGTTATCAAAGCTAATTTACTTTCGTTACAGGCTTTTTTAAACTGAATTGGACTTAGTTTTCTTGATCTTAATCAGGAACTGTTCAAAAGAGGCAACACGCATTACAGCTTGTACCACTGCTACAACTTACTGGGTATACTGTATAATAATAATAATAATAATAATAATAATTTTAATTTTGATAGCACCATTCAATAGACCCAAGGACGCTTTACAATGGGAAACAAAACAACAAAAATAATAATAGTCACAAGGATACACAGGTTAGAAAAAAAAAAAAAANGGGGGTTTCACTGACCGGACAAATGGTCAGTCAGATATGACCTATATAGACTACATAAAGAATGACATTATCAAGATATGTAGATTTGTGTTTGATTGATTAGTAGGCTATTTCAATTAAAAACAAGCCCTGCCTTGTAGAGTAGTGCTTTAAGCTAATTAATACAAAAGTGTAAGCCGTAAATCTTAACAAGGAATTTGCAAAGTGTACAAGCATGTGCCTGGCTTATAACATTTTCAATTTGGCGTGCTGCTGCCGACATGAAATCAAGTGCTGTCACTTGTGCACTTGTAGCATCGATGAGAGGGGCTGTGGCCTTCAAACACACTTCAAATTGTGCTTAGGGGGAATTATAACGGAAGGGAATTAAATGTGTCGGACTTCAACACATTTTTCCTGTCAGAGTCAGGTATCTAACGGCAAATTGAAACACTGGAGTAGTGGGAAATAACTGCTCAGTTCAATGAAGAGCCCTCAGAGCATTTCTGAATATATTTTGGCAATGTACATCTTGTAGTTCATTTCTGTTTTCTGACACAAAGCTCAAAAAAATTCATTAGAACAACTTTTGCGGAGCACCACAGACACACGATGTCAAGCAGACTGGTTCGGTGGGTGTAAGCATGGAGGCATGTGGCGCAGTGGATAGTGCGTTGGTGTTTGGATCAGGGGGGCACAGGCTCAAACCCCACTGCAGTCAGCATGTCGTTGTGTCCCTGGGCAAGACACTTCACCCCAAATTTCTCGTGTGGGGATTGTCCACAGTATTGAGTATGTTAGTTGCTTTGGATAAAAGCGTCTAACAAGTAACATGTAAGCAAGTGAAGAAGCCTTGTCAGCCTTACAGAATGCCCTTCAAATAAGTGAGTACAACACAGTTGAATTGTTACAGTCGGATTGCCAGGCCAATGTTCTGGGTATATTAATGGGCCACCAAGCCAATTGTGCAAGTTTGAGTGGGCTGCTGTGCCAATTGTATAAGATGTAATACTCATAATATTTGCTGTGGGTGTTTGTGCCTGATGCTTATTTGCCACACTGAGTTCCAAAATGCTGTGAGCGCTGTCAGTGGTGCTGAACTGTGCAATTATTTCCCAATTGTACGCTTGAGGGCTACAGTCTGAGGTCGCTAATGAGGTAGCACTGGATGTGTGTGCATGTGTTGCTGTGCTGTACTCATACAAACGGTGTTAATGTGAGTGGTTGAATGAGAACCGTTTATGCGTGTTGCAGCCAGGCCCGGTAATGCCATGTATACACGCACACAGAATGTGTTGTGGGAATAAATGCACATTTCTCTAGTCATTAGAATTTCGTTTACTTGATATGCACCCATGTGACCAACACAAAGAGAAGCCGGAGAGGCTGCAGAGATGACTCTAAATGGGCCCTGATTAAAGTGTTGTGACTCAGTGTGCTATTTGGTTTCCCCCTGTGTTTAGTAGGACTGCTGTGATTACTCCGCAGCTCATTAACCATGGTCATGAGTGGCAACAGCGCCTTCGGTGACTCATTGATTGTGAGTGGCTCTACCTGGATTTTTGTTTGACAGTATAGCTACAACTTGCTTTGAATACAAAATGTATTTGAGCTTTCTTTTCTCAAAGATTATCTTCTCCATTATCATCGTATTAATTGGCAGTTTCATAGTATGAGTGAAAGGGAATACAGAAAACCGACAAAGGGATGACTTGTGAGAAAGATCCATGGCCTGAGCCTACCCTTGCATGTCACTTTGATATGATCAGCCTCTGAACCCACCGTGTGGCAAACATGTTGATTTCCACTCTCATTTGGACAATTGATGTTCTGGCTCTCCTTCCACTGATCATTTCTAACAAGCTTATTCAATTACAAAGAACACTCAACTTCTCTTTGGCTTATTGCTAACTAGCCCAAAGGAGCAAGGGAGAGTAATGAGTTGAGGGGAGGGGGGGGGGCTTCATTCTGTTGTTATTTGGTGAAATTAGCTCGAGGTCAGGACAGTGTCAAGAATGAATCAAGTGATCTGCTTTCATTGATGTGGAACAAGTGGGCGGTGGTGGCGAAGTCCACAGGGACTTGGCTTGGCAACTAGAAGGTCACCAGTTCAAGTCCCGGTAAGACCAAGGTGTCCCTGAGCAAGGCACCGTTCCCTACACTGCTCTCTGGGTGCCGTTCATAATGGCAGCCCGCTGCTCCTAACACTAGGTTGGGTCAAATGCAGAGAAACCATTTTGTTACATAGTACCTGTACTGTGGAATGACAATAAAAGTGAAACAAGTGGCAGCCATCAACAATGCAAATGAGCAGATTTGAATCAGTTCAGATAGTGTAATGATAAGGTGCTATATAAACCAAAATGTCACGACAAGAATCGGGCTGGGCAGTATATCGATATTATGTCGATATCTTTATATGTGACAAGATATTATTAAGTATGTCCCTGGGTTTCAAGGCTGCATTAAGGTACTTTGTAGTTCACCAGGCTGCTTTAGCGGTTCTATTATTTGTCTTTACCTGCTTAGTCATTAAGTCCAGATTAGTGAGGATCTATTGATCATTTATTTCATTTCAATCTTTATTTCGAACAGATTAAAAAAATAACAAATGTGAAAAACAGAATACCGTATTGTTAAAATACAGTATGTATCCACATTCATGATAATATTTATATATTCAACAAAAAAAAAGGTCTTCATATTAATAAATAATAATAAATAATATGTGTCCGAAAGGGAGCAGGAGGAAGCAAATGCTTATTAATTCCCACCCCTTGATCAATGATTGTCCTTTAAATCATTATGCAAGTTATTTACATTTATACATACATATACAATCATTTCTCATCTTCAATCACCTCTCTTCATTCTCATAGTTTTCCAAAAAAGTCTTTCTGTACATCCTTTTAAACTGAATGATGCTTGTGCTTTGTTTTATCTCCTGCTCCAAACCATTCCATAGAATTACCCCACAGATTGTTATACTCATACTTCTCAGAGTTGTTCTGACCTTGAGTTGTTTAAAATGTAGATTTCCTCTCAAATTATACCTACCCTCTCTGTCTACGAACATGTTTTTAATTTCCTAGGAAGTAGATTATNCTAAAAGCTCAAATCCGGCATATTTACATTTTGAAGCATTAATTGTTAAAAGTGTTCATCAATGTGCATTGTCCCTCTTCAAATAAACGATTCAATGAAATGAAAATGAAACTGTGAAATGACATTTTAGAACATTGGCTAACCAGCAGCACTGCATGGAGGTTTAAATCAAATCTTACTGACCACTATATTTAAGCTGGAGAATGAACTCCTGAAGATTTTGCCAAGAAAGTGAAGGCTAAATCTGTTGACAGACTGCCTTTTCATATTTTGTGTTTGTGTTGTCTTTGATGTAAGAAGGAGACTGCTGGAGCCTCTGCAGGGATGCAGCCTGACCATCTGGTGCAAGGAAGGGTGTTCCCTGTACTTCAATGAGTGTTCCATTCTGTCCCTTCGTGCGCATATGTGTGTCTGTGCTGGCAGCCCAAACACTAAATCCTCCTCATCATCCTCACATCATTATCCAGAAAGATCCACATCACATGTATTCTTCTCTCACCTTTCATATGGACAATTTTCCAGCAACAACAGAGCACATCCCACTCCTTTCACCAGAAAGATGAGTGTGCCCCGGCTGCGAGGGTTCACACTGAATATGTCCCAGCACCACACAAACCTTCGCTGTCATCACTCGCTACCAATCATCATTTTCCACCAGAGCATGACTTCCTGTAACCTCCACCACTTCAACCATTATCTGCAGTGTTTTTGCTTTTTATATATTAGCACTAATGTAGCATTGGTACACCACAACTACATTTGAAATTCACACAATAACTTAGGATGCATTTTACGGCTGAAATGACTATAATTTAAACACACTAAAGAAATGTAGTAATTGTATTCTTTAAATTGGAGCCTTTAATGTTTAATAAATACTTTAAAAAATGTATTTACTGTGCAATGTTGTATTGTATCAGTATACTGAGCAGCCCAGGCAGAACTGAGTACTACAAATATAATTATCTTGTTATTGTGATATTCAAAAACATAATTTCATATTTTCCGGGCATTGTGTAGCCCTAATGATTTATCAAATTGATATTGCAATACATATTGTAATTTCTTTTATTTTAACGTATTATATTTGATGAATTATTTCGGCAGATTTGATGACTTTAGGTTGATGTTTTTAAAGTTTCACATCCACAAAATCTAGTATGAACCGATGAAGGTATATTAACTGAATTATGAGGCAGTCCATGTTCAGGGGGTGCACAAAGAGAAAATATGGATTTCAGACTCATCACTGGAGGATAGGCCTGGGCCTTGCATTATTTCAACCTGACACTTGATTTCCTCAACAGCTCAGATGGAGAGGCAAGAACAGAGAGAACCAAGAGACATTTGATTTGTTTGCACTGCACAACTCAGTGTCATTCTTACACCTCAGCTTGCCAGGCACGTCATTATTCTTATGAACACATACAGACACGTACGTCATTGTGCTTCTGGCACTTTGTAATGTGGCAGAAGCAGGTCAGGTTTTCATCAACCGAAAATACACGTCAATGGGCGCACAGCTCACGAGTCACACAGGCTCTAACAAACACGTGTTAGCAAACGACAAATGAACTGAGAAAAAACCTGCAATCATTGGGAATAATGAGCTGATTACCATGAAGCACTGCTGCCACACTGGTGAACGTGAGAATACTAAGAATATTCTTTAATTGTTCAATACAATGCAATTGTTTTTATAAGATGTGATCCCCACCACATGATGAGTATCGCCTCGCCTTGGACTGAATGTTAAACAGTTATTCAGTGAATACAGATCAGATCTCAAAATGTGACATTACAGTAAACACTAGTATAGCTAATGTCAACAGAAGTCTATTTTGCCCAAGCAAATCCTTGGCTGAAATGATAGTTCAGTGTTGAGTTTAGCACACTGACAAATAATAGACCAGTCACGACGACCTTGATCGACACACATTAAATATCCTTGTCCTTCCTGCTGCTTAGATAGAGTGGATATTGTGCTTGTAAAAATGTATGCCAACTATTGGGCTTTTAATGAGTTTTTTTAATAGCTGCTGAAAATTGCCTTTGATCCAGTTTCAGAGAATAACTCGCAACAGAGGCCTGAGATTAAATATGCTTTCCAGCAAAGTCATTTGATTTTCTTCTGTAGAGGATGTTTACAATCAAACAAACCGCTGGTTATATTCTGGATGCATTGCCAGTTATGTACACTTGTTGACTGTAAAGGGACATTTCATTTGTGGTTATGAATTTGTCTTCAACTCTGACGTTTCCTCTATTGGCTGTCAAATCATTTCCATAAAAATGGGTACACTGCATTATGAATTCTGCCTACGAGATTGAACTCAGGCATTTGGGAGTACGGCACACACACGCTATCACATAAGGTGTTTCTCAAATTTCCCAGCTCTCATTTCATTTTTGTCACTCTCACTCCACGTCTCTTGGCACACTGGAAAGGAAATGTGTCAGACACAACACTCTGGACTTTTATAGCCCGGTGCAGACTGGTGTGAGGACAAACCGAGGGGGACAGCTTGCAGCCATAGTAAGAAATGATGTGTAAATAAGCAACCCGGCATCCACTGCAATTACTCTTGGCTGGAATCAATAACCTCTTGGAGGGCAGGAAGCAGCTTTTGTCACAAGAAACTAGACACAATTTCCTGAGGCTTAGCCTTCTGAATAAGGACGGGTTTAGTCAGCTGGGGCTTTAACTATATTACAGGAATAATAATGAAGTGGGGGGCAGGTGGTGCAGCTGTGATTTCACGTGTTCCGTCAGGTGAGTGTCAAGCTCATGTTTTCTTAGGTACACAGCAGATGTGCGTGGTGATAATCATAGTCTTCAGACAGAGCATCCTATAGGCCCTCTCATAGGTCTGAGGCTGCTTGTACTGTCACCCTATATCACCTGGAGCCATGAAATATCTCAGATGTTATTATATGTTTGATTCATTGTATTGATAAAGTTTATGAGTATTGTGTCTTCACTTCTTAACCTAGCTAAAGGAAAGAAACATTCAAGGTGCCCTCTACCAAATCAGTTTTTTATAAATGAAAAACACTTGGATTCCAAATCAAATAACAAATCCAAGCACAAATCATGCTGATTTGGGGTATTCCAAAATACCCCAACAGGCAAACACGTCTAAATGTTTACGTTGCAGTGGTGGGCTGCATGATGTGAGTTCAAACAGACACTTACCGTTGCGTCTGTTGTGACAGCGGCGAAAACAGTGGAGGAGTATGGAGACCAGGCAACATCACCAACTGCTGCATTCAGATCAAAGGTGAACATGGGAGTGCTGAAAAACACACAGAGATCGGCGGTCAGACAGGAAGTCTGTGTCAGGGGAGAACACTGAGGCATGAACTCAATTGCACGACTCAAAACTCAGACTCAGATAGCGTTTCAAAATAAAGACTTTACTGGAATTTGCACAGTAATAAAACAAGGAAAACAAAACCACTCTTTCGAGGAAAACTATAATGCGATCTATAGCATAGGTCCGTGAAAGTTTTGTTTTCCTTGTTTTATTACTGTGCAAATTCCAGTAAAGTCTTTATNCTTTAAAACTCACTGCAGCCAGAAAAAAGCTGTTACCTGAGGAAGAGCATAAAATATTTAGTACCTAAAAAAAGGCATCTTCTCTGCGTTAAGACTAGTTACATGACACTGTGTTCCACAAATGAGCGCACATGCAGTTTGTAATGATTAAACCTCAAGCATTCATCCTGATAAGTGAGCATGTAAACCTGATTTCTTGAAAAGTACCTCGGAGCATAAACGTAGAAGACGTGTTTTCAGGTATGGCCCATTCAATTGCCTCCCCAAAATACATGATCCGTGTGGCTTATTCAACTGTACGCCGTTACGGCATACAATGGCATCTGTGCCTTACTTAAAGGTGGGGTAGGTAGTTTTGGAGAAACCAGCTCGAGTGCGCTGGAATTTGAAAATACACAGCCGGAAAAAATCTGCCACTTCCTTACAGAGCCCCTCCTCCAACACAGACGAACGCACACATGACCAATGAGGCCTGAGATAAGTTTGTGCACACATGGAAGGCTGACAGGCAGGTAGGTCATCCAGTTATTTTAGCCGGGCCGGCTGATTGGTCGTGCTTTTTACAGTACTACGGCTTCCACAGATGACATTTTTGTATGGATTTTTTGTCAAAGAACTTCAGATATTCATTGCTATCGGGATGTTAAGAGAATTCCATGGAATACAACAAAAAGTGTATCGAGAGCCGGTTTCTCAAACTTACCTACCCCACCTTTAATCACAGTTTTGAGTATTCCCTTTTTAAGAAATGTTTCGTAAAGTGGCTGCCAGTTATCAATTGTTACACAAAAGTTAAAAAAAGTTGAGTGTACTGCTTAGCCATCTCACATAAAACCACAAAGAAAATGCAAAAAAAAGAATTAAAAATTCATATGTTAAAATTAGATTAAAATTAAGATAAGGTTCTGAGCACGTTTGAACCTAACAATTTCACTTTAGTGATGTAATGAGTGGTTGTTTAAAAATTCTTTATATATTGAGAAAAGGTTTATTCGTAACAAGCATAAAAGCTGAATTTGCGAAGCTTTTCTTACCAGCAAATTCCAGCGAAGGCTAAATCAAGTATGTTCAGCTTGACATTCACTTCTTGCTACACCCAAACAAAGTAAGCAATTTCATCCAGGTCTACAGGATAGTCTGTGAGATGGAGGGGCTCCTTGATATCAAATCGCTCCCCCTTGTAGCTTTTCCAACGGCCGGCAGGGAGGTAGATGTCACGCTCTTGCTTTCCCGGCTCTAAAACCGGGGCTACCATGAGGTCATCCCCAATCAGGAACTGTGAGTCGATTTTATAGGCCGTTTCATCACCTGTGGCAATCCACCACAGGGGCCGTATGATTGGGTCCCCGGTGTCCAGCACCTCACTAGCCAGCTCCAGGACCCGGGGTGCCACAATACTCTCATGAAGGGCTGTGTATTTTCGTGCAATTTCAACCACCTCGTTGTCGTATTCCCATGGCGGAATAGAAAACTGCATGGAGGGCATGAAGGCTATCAGCTCCAGCCAGCGGATATAGAGTTCTCGATCGGGTAAGACATGATTTCCCTCTGTGCGGTTCAAATAGGCATTCCCTCCGATCATGTCTGGTAGAATAAACTGATAGCCAAGAATGCTGATGGTAAGCACGGTGGGAATAATAGATTTGAGACCTAACTCGTAGCCCCAAACAGAGTCTCTGTCAATTGGTCTGAAGAAGCAGGATATGTTCTGGGACTGGTAGCCACTGCGCAGCTCAGCTCTATCATTGTAGGGAATAGCCATTTCCGTGTAACGTCTGGTGAAAAAACTTGGGTCCTGAATGGGAGTTCTGGTACTGAATTTCCATGGTAAGAAGCTAGTCTCTCCTGCGTCAAATTTAAAGGATGACACTCCGTACCTGGAACGCAGTGAACGTAGCTTGGAGGAAAACCAATCACGGGCTTCTGGATTTGTGAAGTCCAAAATGCCACCAATGCCATTCCACCAGCGCACCAAGGCAGGCAACCGGCCTGTAGGCTCACGGACAAACAGCCCCCTCTCTACGCAAGTATGAAAGTTTTCCGAGTCATAGTTAACAAAAGGGTGAATCCAGAGTGACGTCAGAAATCCATCTGATTTCAGCTTCTGGAACATGGCGGTGGCATTGGGGAACTTAGTGGGGTCAAACTCATACTCTCCGTAGCGCCTTGTGTAGCGATCATCTATTTCCAGTTGGCTACAGTTAAATTTATACTTGCGTATGTTGGCAGCATACTCCAAAACTTTCTCTTGGTCAATATCAGTCTTATGTAGAGCCCAGGTCGACCATATAGGATGGCGAAACATGACTTTGGCAGGCACTTTGTTTGGTTTGTTGAAGTATCTGCGGACCATGTACTTGTGCATGGATGTCACATCCAAGCCCACGCACACTCTGTAGCTGAGTTCAGCACATGGCTCCTCTCCTGGGTTTGGCTTGAAGGGACTGTCATTGTATCGTGCCTGGAAGGACATGGTCTTCTCTGTGTCATTCCAGCCCAGGTGGAAGGGTACTGAATTATTTATCTTAATGGCTGTAGCATTGGATGAAAGCCAATAACTCTCTAAAATTCCTCCAAATTCATTGCGGTTTGCGTAGATGTCACTTGTAACAAAGGGTTTGGGAGCCTGTTGGCCTTTAATGGAAACAGGCCAGTGTTGTATTGCTGACACAGCACCACCATACCAGTGTGCAAACGTGTATGTCATGGCATGCTCAACAGGAATGTCAGGAACCAGTTCTTCCCAACGCACACGGTAGCATTGTACCGTGTCCTTGGGCCGCACCGTCTCGATGAAGAAGTTCAGTTTTCTATCAGTGGTTTGTCCGCAGCTCAGCATCTCCCCCTCTTTGGAGCATGAATCCAAATCCAGTGTACCTGACCTGCCAAGATTTAAATATATTTGGATTTAAAAGCAATATCAAATTTATTTTCAAAAACGACTTGATTACATATAAAGAAATATTCTAATGAACCTGAAATATGCATCATTACAAAAGCTTAAAAATGTGAAGACCATTGTAAAATACCAACCTGAAATCCATTCTGAATACAATAGACCCTCCCTGGTTGCGGATAATGTAGCCATCTTTATTCAGATCCAGGAGCTGAGTCTTAAGCAGCTCAGCTTTGCGTATAGAGGCTATATAATAACACCACGCAGTCACTGCAGCAACTACCAGCACCAGGCCGATTACCCCGGCTCCGACTAAGGGTCGAGTGTCCTTGCTGTGTTTCTGCTTGGGGATAACATCTGTAATTGTGCCTCCTGCTCCTCCTGGCACAACTTGATACATGACTTCTGCTGTTCGGTTGGCAACTCTGAGTGTTGCTTTTTAAGAGCTCATAGAAATATTTTCCAGGGAACCTTGTGTGCCGCACTCTGGCCCCGTCTTTGTGTCTGCCTGCCTGTCATGAGAGAGAGATAACAAGCATTGAAAAGTCAATGTCAAAGTCTTCATGCAATATTTGCTTTTCTCATTGAAACAGTATTTATAGACAAAATGCATTGAGGATCAAATAACAAGGCATTCTGTACCTTTAGCCTTTGGACAGAACATTCACGTTATATATCTTACCAGCTGTGGTTAGTCGAGATTACTTTAAATCACTTAACTATCAGGTAATTTCAGGAAAATAGCCCCAGCCAGAAAAACACTAGCTGCCAGGCTTGTTCTCATTCTATTTTGTTTCCTTGTCAGTTCAAAGCCTCTATTACATTTCTGGCATTGTCTTACATGCTCTGCATTGCTGCACAAAGGGATTCCAAAGCACTTGGAGGCATTATGCTGTCAGAATGTAAACTTTTAAGATGTGTGATTTAACAAAAACAAATCTACTGCCAATTACCCGTAAGAGGATAAAGTGGATGTTCCCAGCAGTAATTCTAACATACGAGTTCAATTGAAAAAATACTAATTTGTATGTAAGGAAGTAGAGGAGCAGAAAAGGGGATTTTGGCCTTAATGCTCTGCCAATGCCGGGAGGGAGAGGAAAGAATACTAAGCTTGGAGGGTGTGCTTCATCACGCCAGATCAACCAAAACTGCCAAAAAACAGTTGTTGTTGATGTTAGTTTCTATTTCATTTAGACCAGTCTGTCCCTCCCAGTAGTGATACAGCAAAAACGTTTACGGGTAATTAACTACCTGATGTTAGTTATTGTGGTTTTGGCTAGTCAGAATAGATTAGATTAAGGTGCATTGCCGACAGAGGGGAGTTCAGTCCCCTCCCGAGTACTCCCTATATGCTGACTTGTCCTAACTGCAATTGACCCTCCTGGTCTGCACTGGCAGCAAAGGTCGATAATAAAAAATGCTTGCTATTAATTAGCAATCTAATTGACTAATTCTGTGTTCAACCACCCTTAGTATAGATTTCCTCCAACAACAGGACTGATAACATGAGCCCATCATTAATTAACAGATAACTAACTGTTGGTTTCCTGGAGATCCACTCTGGCTGCAGAAATTGACAAGGTGGTTTACTGTATTCATATATTTATTTATATTGAAGAGGGAAACACATAATCATAATTATTTGCATTTATCTAATCAACTTTAAATCAAAATACAAGTTGTTATTAATCAATCTGTTGTCTGTTTTTTCATTTAATTTATTCGATTCAAGTGTAAAAACAGTGTGTAATATCCACTGAAGTGAAAAATGTAATTAATTAAGAAAACCAATGAAACATTATTTTCTTAATTAATCAATTATTTTTCTTTTAAAGTAAAAATGCATATTTCCACAGTCCAAAATTACACAGCACATTTGAGAAGCTAGAACCAGAAAGTTTCGGCCATTTTCGCTTGAAAAGTTACTAAAAATGTTATAGTTTAAACAAAAATACTTTTTATAATCAATTCCTCGTTGCAGCTCTACAGAAAATATTCATATTCGTAGGATGCTGGAGGCCAGAAAGCTAACTTTAAATTGTTTTTAACAAAACAATGTAATTAATTAATTCTATAATTCTTGATATTATCTACAGTGTGCATCAACCTTTTGAAAAAGGTTTTCAAAAGTGTATGTCCCTATAACTGATTAATCTTAACACTCTTTAACTACACACAAAGACAACCCACCCTGTTTTCCAAGCCTGCTATAGTGGCTTGTTTTTCTCATTGAAACAGTGTGAACAGGCAGACTTGGAGCTTTCTTTGTTTATGCTGTGATAAGGAGAAGGGGGTATCAAAGCTGCCACTTCAGCCGATCCACTATCTTTTCTGACATGGAAAAAATAGACACAGAAGTGCTGATACATTCGGAACAGAAGTGTGAGAAGCCTCACTATACCGTAAGAAGCACGCGCGTGTTTGTGTGTGCGCGTGAGAGTAAGCGTGTGTGTTTACAGTTATACTCTGCTAACTTAGATAAGCACACGGCAGAACTTTACAGAGCTAAAGTAAAGTCTCACTGTGAATTAGTTTAACTTTTTACTTAAATTATGCATATTTAGTACAAATATAAATAAAAATGTAGGCTATAATACATGCATTATTATAGCCGTACTGAAAATAAATGTTCCTCGCTAATGTACCCACAGCGTCTACATACAGTATAGTCAGATTTATAGAAAGTCGTTGTTTTGCGCGGTAGTGCAGGAAAGTTAACGGAGGGAAAACAACCCGTAATTCGTGAGAGAAAAGTAGCATAGTATTATCGTTTACCCTCATGCTAAACTTTTAACTGTTCATTATAAATAGTTTGTTGCCTACCGATCTGCAGCTGCCCCCTCTGCAGCTCCGAGCACAGCGTGTTTGCTTCAGTTCACAGAAAAATACCAAGAGGCATTAAGGCATGTTGATTGATGTGTATCCGCCTTGAATACGCCCACCGCAGCATGGGAAATGTAGTCCAGTAGGTGGGAGCATTACCGTTTATTTTCTCATTATGTATCAATTACACTGTAGTACATCATTCAAACCTGTCACACGAGTTAAATTACAACGTTTTCTGCATAGCAAGTGAGCCTAAAACATTTTGTTATGGGGACTTCGTTTCTATGTTATGTCATATAATGATGACTATACATAGAACTCAAGTCATTATATGACCATACATAGAACTCAAGTCTGCTATAGATAAATAACATATGATAATCCCATAAAAAGTCTATAAAGTTTCCTTGTTTGCAGAGTTTTTTGAATATTTTAACCCCCCAAACACGCATTAAAGAATTCCTTTATCAAAAGGTTATCTCTCTAATAGTAGGATACACTTCTAATGCCACAGATTGAAACACATTAGGGCCACATTGCCTCACTCTGGGAAGATCTTTGGTGCTTGATTTAGGACTGAGTTGCAAAAGTGGCCACGCTGTGAAGGGATATAATAGTTTTAAGAGTGCCACCTACAGTTACATTATTCATTCTTACACCTTGTCTCGCTGGGTTAATTAGTGAAGAAATTAAACAATAGTGAAGTTAACAATCTCCATAAAGGACCTCCGCAGGTCAGGTCAAACAGTGCTAATGGTCCTAACGAAGACACTCAGACACAAACTCTGGGTGTATGATGTAGTGTCCGGCCTGGTAGGGCTTCACCACGTGGAAGCAGCTGTAGCACCCACTGTAGAGAGACCATCAGAGCAGAAATTAGACCACAATGGTTCTTACTTTTGGCACGCTTTGACAGATTTATTCAATATTCACCTATTATTCTGGCTGCTAGACCTTCGTAGAGAGTGGTATTGAGGGTTGGTGGTTTGGGGTCTTGTTCGGAGCTGGGCCCCTGCATGTTGCCTGTCCATAACAATGTCATTTTGTCAGGATGAATCATTAATATTGCTCATTAACAAACAGTATCTAGGGTTTTCAGGGTCTAAAGGTCAGGTCAAGAGGTCTCTTACCTGAGTTGCGGGGCTGATAGTGGATAGACAGCCCTGTGAAAGTCAATTTGAATGCAAAGAAAATCTATTAGAATCAAGTTTGGTTAGAGGCTTCTTTAGACTGTATATACATCCAATGTAGTGCTACCTTGCTGTTGGCTTCCTCCAAGCTGCATGAAGCTTAAACTCAGTGCCAGAAGGAGGCTCAGTCAGTTGTAGTTTCTGTAGTGCGTCAGCAGAGGGCAGAGCTTGTGCTCGGAATGGGTTGACAGGAGGCATGAGGTTTTGTTTGCCTTTTATCAGGAAGTTGTCTGGACAAGTCACAACTGGACTGTGGAAAGATAAATGTCTGACAGGGGGGAAGAGGGGACGGCCAATGTCCGCAGGGGGCGAGGGGTGTGGTAATGTGCGGCGTGACCTGTAGTTGGACTGAAGGCTCTTGGGAAACAGAAAGTCCTGTAAAGACAAGGGATAAAAGGACATGTATGGGTAGAAATAGAAAATAAATAGAAGACAAGGTGAATTAAAAACAATATGTAACTGTCGTTCTTACAATTAGTTCTATATATCTTTTTTTACATGTACAGCAACTCACATTTGATATGATTTTACTATAATAATAATCATTTAAAAAGCAGCTTTAAAATCTGTCTTTACAAAGTGCTTGGACAAAAGCAAAGAAAGAAAAAATATGTTATACAGTAATACAATAGTTTTTAAAGGAATGCAAATATGATAAACGGAATAGAAACGCAATAAAAGGAATGTTAAGACCACATAAAAAATGTATTCTTTTTGAGTTTACCAAGAGATTTCAAGATTCGTTGAAGATTATGTCTTTCTCTCAGTTCTTAGAACGTAAAGAACAGTCATGTTTTAAATTAGTTATAATAAATTAAAATGTGTTGAGTAGGTTTTAAGCTTTTTGTTTCCTTTACAGAAGGATGACTATACTCTCTATCTCTCCTGATCTCTGTTTACTCCATGTCGGGGGTGAACAAATAAGCATTGAGGAAGTTCTGAATAATAGATGTGATACAGCTTTCATCCAGCAAAGGGAAATGTAAACAACCAGCCACCAATTAGAGTAAGGCACAATAGTGTGGCTTAATGAAGATACTGCCAACAATAAGTGACCCAATTAGCCTTGTTTGACATCGAATGCATAAAATGTTTCATTAGCTAAATACATTGATTATAGGACTACCACTTCCATTTTCTCCAGAAACTGTCCTTGCACAATCATAAATAAATATCCCTTTAAACCCATGCAGTCCATGGCTGTTCCTCTTACCGGCCGGGGCTGGGGGTTGTTCCTGCGGTGGGCAGAGGTGGGTCGAAGCTGTTCTCGTTTTGCTGTGCCAGGAGAGGCAAACTGCTCTTTGTACATAGTTAAATAGAGCTGAGGAGCCATCTTCACTTATCGTCTTTTCACCTGCTCCCCTCCAGTCTGTTTAAAAGTTATGTGCATCCTTCTCCTCCCCTGTCACCTGGTGGCTCCTCCCCTCATTCGTGTGCATCTGTTATTCTTTTACCTGCACTTTTGGTATGCAAATGTCCTGAAGTGTGTGTTTTCTCCACTGAAAACTGTTGCTGGGTTCTGCACGCCACCTACTTTATGTGTATATATTACTCTTCCTGTGTTCAATGGATCAGAACACAGCACGTTTGCATGCATCAGTAGCTGTAACCCCTGCTTGGATCAACGAACAACTACAGTAGATGGTAAAATCTTTGTTATACATGCAGCTATTGTGATGAATCTAGGCTATGTTGTAAGAGATGGGTGAAGAGCATCCTTGGTGAACCAGAACATCTCTTTGTGCCACCTGAGCACACAGACACTAATCCCCTTAAGCACCAGGCCCCCTGCAGAGACACACATACCTGGGGTCACTCTCCATGACTCCCTCCCAGGGGCCCTCACAAAGTAACCAGCATTGATCTCAAACATAAGGCTTCCAGCTCTTTTGCTGCCTCAAAGTTAAAGCAACATAAGTCTTATCTGAGCTGCAGAACTGGAACAAACTGGAGCAGGGATGGGATTTCTAAGAATCTCCCACCACCCAGGGTCACCTCTATTCACTGTCAGCATGCCACATGAGCATCAATAATTCACCAAAGTGCTGTAGGGTGCCATTGTGTCTCCACTGCTTTCACTGAGTTATCTGTGACAGGAACTGGCTGTTCATCTCGCTGCGGTGGTCGGGCCTTGTTTGACAGCCACGTTAAGCCCAGTCAAATCCATGTCAACAGATGCAGAGAGGACATGGGGAATCATAGTAATGATTGTGGCAGGAACGACCTTCACTGGGCCTCTGAATCAAATCCAATCACTAGTTTGTCCCTTCTGTAGTATACTTTGACGCAAGGCAAATCCCAAACTCTTCCTTTTATTCATACTCTCTACATCACTTCCAAACAACAAAAGTACAGTGTATTTGATAGAAAAATGGATAAAACATTTCAAAGCAAATGCATGCTTCTTTAAGTTATGCATGATGATCAGCCTCAGAAGATTCTTGTTGCATGGCTTTCATGTTCTGCACAGCCAGTGAAGCAGACGTCCAACATGTGCGATGCGGACTTCAAAGCCCTTGCCATAGACTCACAGTGTTATTTACTCGTGCTTGTATTTCGCTGCCGCTTTGAGCTTTATGTAGAGATAATCAAAATTCTGTAAGAGAGAACAGACAGATGCTGTGAGAGGACAAACCGGAAGTGTCAAGTGTTCAAAGCACAAGAAGAAATGCAGGGTGCTATGCAAAACAGTATGAATGGACAATGTAAAAAGGGTACATTTACGGACCTGAATGGTGTAGTAAACGATTGCCAAATAAGCCGCAATGCAGCCGCCGAGGAACAGATCAAAGGCTGCAGGCTTCACTCTGGAAGAACAAGTATATGAGAGTCCAAACATATTGAAATAAAAGTAAGAACAAGATGTATTTGAACACAGAAATATTTACCTGTACATCACAATTTGTTGGCTCATTTGATCAAAAAAGGTAATGTCAGGGTCCCTGTTTGAAGACAAATGGTTGATCATTAGTGATATTGTTGGATTTCCTCCTGCATTGATCAGTATGTGTTTGCTTCTTCTTCAACAGCGTACTTCTTGTCCTGCCGGAAGGTGTGTCTGTGAACCTGCTGCAGGTAACGCTTGAACTCGTGCTCCAGAGAGTTAACCAGCAGGATGTGAGCCGGCTCCTTATCCAGCAGCTGGGTGGCCCGAGGGACCGATGTCAGAGAGGACATCAGACTCGACATGCGACTGTCGTGAAAGTCCTACAGCCAGAATGTAGACGTTTATTCACAAAAAGAAGAAAGCAGGAAAGGTCTCATGTTCCATTGCACAAAATAAAGGCTGATGTATGGTCAATATTGACCCATGAGAAACAGAATTCTTGAACTGTTACACTCCAATATATATTTAAATAGTGGGTTTAGTCAAATGCCTCCAATCATTGAATTAACTGAATTAACAAGCTGCAGTTAATACTAGGACCCAGGCCCTTGATATACACTGCAATTCCCATAAACTAACACCAGAGGTCAACAATTGTCAAAGATGCATTATATAAACGATTATATTTACCAAAATAACCTGAAACTTACCAATTGGCCCTTGAACACCTGCATATCTTTTGGTGAACCCTTGTGAAAATAAAGGGAGATCAAAAGATTAATTACAATGAAATGCAGATGAAAAGTGTCTATTAGGATGCATGCGTTATGTTTGTATGCATTTAATCACCTTGTCAGAGAGATTGTACATATAACGTGCCAATGTCTCTGCTACAATGACGCCATTACGTTTCATTTTCCTGAAGTCCACTTGTGACCTGTGGGAAGAAACAATACAACTGTTATGTGTTTCTTTGCATCATCTCTTCATATCCAGTGTCAAATAATCAGAATCAGAATTAAGAACCCACATGGTGTCTAGCATGGAGCCACGGTGCTCAGATTTGGGGTCATCAAGACGAGACAGAGTGAAACTTGGTATCCTGCGCAGGCTGTAGCGCTCGTGTTCCCACGCTACTGAGGACTCCACAAGATTGATCTTCTTATGGACCAATCCCACCTTCACCCAGGGGAATCTGGAGGACACCACCTGCAGGAAATTCACACATTTGAAGTCCAAGAAAACTGAGACAAACCAAGTCCATTTCTCTGGACCTAGCAGTAAAGTTTCTTTACCTCTTCCAGCTGTTCAAGGAAAGACTGTATGGGACTGTCTGGTTTAGGAGGGCGAGACACGTGCATGTACAGTTCATCACTGTTGGCCAGTGTATCCAAACACAGCACAAACTCCACATTATCATGGAGCAGACTGGACTCTGCAGAGAAAAGGTTTGGAGGAACGATTTAAACGGGCTGCTTATGTTCAGATATAGTAGTCCAAACACTTCAAGAAAAACTCACCAGCGTGGTCCAGATGATCTTCAATCCATCTCTTTGTGCCAAGGAAATTGTATTTTCCTCCTCCAGTTAGGGAGAACATTAAATTGAATCTAAAGACCAAAGATAAATCAGAACATGGTCAATAATTTTTATCTGGCTGCTCCAAATACTTTATTTTTTATGTTCTTCACTCATAATAAAAAAAGTATGCTCTCATAGCTTGTTGTACTTTTATACTTGTACTTTTAGCATCACTGGGAAATGTGGACACCTATAAACACTAACTAGCTTGTTTATTAACCTTATGTTAAAATGTACTTCTGTTGGGGGGGACTGCAACTCACGGTGGTTTGGTGCCAGGACTACTAAAAAGCTTCTGGAAGAGACGAACTAACTCCAGCAGGATGGTGACGCCACTGCCATTAGAGTCTGCTCCGTACGACAACCACTGTGGGAAAAACACAAACATATACTGTATATGAATGGAGAAAGAATTATACTGCAAATGTAAAAATAACCCTTGACCCCTTTTTCAAGACATATTTGCATACAATTATAAAATCCATACTTATTCCACACATTAGTGTCCACATGTATTTTAAAAACAAAAAGTAAAGTAGTATTAAGGTAAGTTAAAATGTATATTTTTCAATGTTAAAGCTTTACTGTATATGTTGCCGGGTAGCTAAAGTGTTACCTTATCGTTATAATACATGATGCACTATTTTCTATATTTGTTCTGTATTATAAATATTAAGTTATCAAATACATTTGATGGAGTAGACACAACTTAAGTATTTAAGTTTATGTACTTAGTGCACTACTGGGATGGGATGCATTTTTTGTCATTGCTAAACTAAGTCTCTGTTTTTTCTTTTTCTAAAAGCATTCGTAGATGCAGAACATACTGTGTAGATTGCATCACATTACTGCAATTACTTCTTGTATTTCTTTTCAGTTTTATTTCCTAAAAGTTCCTCTTTTCCTGCACCTGGAGGGTTTTATATAATTTTCTTTGACAGTCCCGTGCAAAATAATATATTGTATTTGGATATTTGTAGTAGTTTGCATAGAAACAACCAAACAGTGCTGAAAATTGGATTCATAATGTTTATGTAACTCACTGGTGCTAGCCCGTAGGAATCATAGTGGGCGGTGATTACGACTGTGGGCGCATCCTCCTCGGCTCCGGGAAGCACTCCCTGAAGAAAACATCACTAGTTATACATGCAGAAATAACGACTAATCAAAAGCCAAACTAATCCAGTTTGAAAACTGAAGAATGTCAATCAAATGTTTGAAATCATCTGTCCTGGTCCCATACTCACCTCCAGCGTGGTGAAGGTGGTGTCAGTGCTGCTCTTTATAGCAGCAGTGTTGCTCAACGACATCTGAAAGGCTGTAGCTGTCACCATACTTCGAAGGACTGCCAGAAATTAAAAAAAAGCATATAAACCTCAGTGTAATGTTTTTTCAGCATCTTCACAGTAAAAATAACCTCTTGCACCCCTCACCTCTGACGAATATAGACAAGGTCCTGGTGGCTGCAGCTTGCTTGACTTCCTCATACATGATGAGCAGTTTCTCATCCTCAGGCGCCACATATACTGGAATGAGGATCTCCTTCAGCAAGACCTCACTCTCACTCACCATGAAGGACTGCGAGGGGAAAAGAGGATTGTTGAAACTACTCTTTTTGATGCCCTGTGGTGTGGTGATCATTAACACTTGAGCAGGCTGTTTACCCTGGAGCACTAGGATGTGAGATATGACATTCGGAAACTGCCTGATGGATCAGAAAAGATGCTGTATTATTTGTACTTGTTGGCTTGCAGCATGTCCTGAAGCAACTTGTTACCTGTATTGAATCGTAGGGGATGGCAGAGATATTTGTGGGCAGCAGGATGAGGATGGCAGCAGCATTTTGCCTCTGGGCCTCGAGGTATTTCTCTGTGGTGAAGTCCATCACTTTCATGATGACGCAGCGGCGGGTCAGCACCGGCTCGTCTGCTGAGCGTGCCTCCGCCCCCAAGATGGCTCCACGGCAACCTGAACACACAAATAAAAGACGAGTGTAAAATGAAAACAGGCCGATGAGATTTTAAGCTGTTCTTCTAAGCAGAAATACAAAAGGAAATAATAAGTCTGTCACTAAGTTCTTTAAATTGATACTCATCTTTTTTAGCCATGGATGTATACTTATTTGACTTTATTTTTTGTCTTACTAATGTGTGCTTTTCTTCTCTATATTAAGTTAGCTTTGTCTTTAATATTGCATTCCTTTTTTTACCTCACTTTTTACTGTAACACCGTACATTTACCCACTGAGGGACTTATAAAGGATTTCTGATTCTGAGGATTCTGATTTTAGAATATTGTAATATTTTTAATCTGAGCTTTATTTATTTATGATAAAAATTGAAATGCAAACAATATCAGTTTATGTGATAGTATACATTGCTATAAATGAGACACTTTGTTAGTTTGAATTGGCTTAATTTCAATTAGCAACATTTTTTAAATTAGTGCATCTGTAATAATTATCCACCAATAAATATTTACTTTACACCAATGATCTTATTTGGTGTGGCAATTTAGTGTGATCCCATCTCAATCTTATTGAATCACGAATCATGATTGGTTAGCAAATGTAATATATCTCTTTCTTAAGTTTAAGCTGTTATCCCTTGTGGTATTCACATCAACAGCATAATCATATGTTGCTTTATGTTAAATCTAAAAAGTAACTTGTGACTCCAACTCTGAGACATGTGCAATGGAGCACAAATTGGAATAGAGGCAACTAGAAGTAAAAAAGCAGCATAAAATGAAAGGTAAACTACCTCAAACTGTAAGTAAATGTACTTTCCAGCACTGGATGTGCAACTCTCTGAACTTACCATACTTCTGTTGTACTAAGTTGTACTGTTGCATCCTGTAGGCAGTGAACTCATGGGAGGAAACTGGATGGAAAGCAGAGCCATGCAGCGACTGGACGTAGAGCAGCAGCACGGCAGCTACACTCAGTTCTCTCGGCAACATGATGTCACTTCCTGCCTGTGTCCTCTTATAGCCTCAATCTACAGTATGAGGGAAGGGTGACGTTACAGGAAGCTTCATTCAATACATTACATTTCATTGAGCTGATGCTTTTATACAAAGTAACTAACAACAGGTGCAATCAACCATGAAGATATGATATAAACTGAAAATAGCAAAAATAGTCCTGCAAGTACATTAGCTTTCACTATGCCAAACCACTTTAAGTGCTACTGCATTGGCTTCAATTAACGCCAAACCTTTCTGATAGATACAGAAGTGCAACTTTTTTTTAGGTTTTTAAATGTTTTGGCCAATGTGTAGTCGAAACAGGTGGGTTTTCAGTCTGCAATGGAAGTTGTGTTGACTTTCTTCTGTCCTGATATCAATAGAGACCAGGCCATACAGTATATACAAGGCCAGTCTATACACATTCAAATGTACATATGATTTCAATAGAGTCCAAATATTTTTTTATGGCAAGGATATTTGCTGTATTCGAAGTCTAAAGGTTGGCTATCCATATGGTCACGTAGAGTGTGCCGTAGTCTCCATAACACTGACAGATGACAGATATCTATAAAGTTCCACTATCTTTTTTGTGTGCAGGTAAATGTTCCTCACCAGTCTCCCAACGCTCCTGTCTCATGAACCTTCGTCCTAGGTCTTCCTCAGTGCTACTCCTTGCTGCTCTGACATGAAACTAGCTCCTGGGATTCAAGGCGTGTCCTGTACTGTAGGTAAGCCACCATTCGCCATCTGCTTCCAAAGGATCAACTCAAGGCTAATCACAAATACCCAACCCCCCACCCCTCACACTTGCTACTCTATCTTTCTATACCCTCATTCACTTGAGTAGATAATCACACATCACCCGCAGAGACTCTGTGTGGGGGGCAAAAGGTTTCATACAGTAGCTATTTGTTGCATCTCCTGCAGGGACAACAGTTGGAGAGAGTTGCACTTGACTTACTTGTAGACTTCATCCCCTAATGAGACTGTCTATTGGTGACATGTGTAAAAGATTGCTTAAAAATGAAATGGCATAACAAGGAATTACAAAAACCAGACACCCTCCAACTGCAGATATCTAATATTTATTTTTGATATGTTGCACTATACACAGAACTTTGACACTGTTAAAATCTAAATGGAACCAGTTCACAATCATCATTATAAGCACCTGACAAACAAACACAAAATAAAAAGCTTCAGTCTGGATATGGATTATTTCCCATTCTTGAAAATAAATTAAAAACGCACAACTGCAAATAAATAGCTTATGTTACAACACATTATTCTAGAGTCAAGAGATTAGTGAAGCTACACAACCCAGTGACACAATGTTAGCCTGCGACAGCCTGTGAGTGAATCAAATAGCATGTAAAAGAAAGAAGAAAAGAAACTCAGCACCATTTCCTCAATGTTGGTGTAACTGTACAGTTATAGTAGCCATTTTAGTCACCTAGTACTATTCGTGTATTTTTTCTACTTAATGCAAGTCGTTTTAAAATCTACACACATGGCACCATATTTGGCTAATTACATTTTTTCAAATACTTTTGTAATTTCAATGCTACAGAAACATTGGGGCAGTATAATGTAAAGGAGATGCCCTTTTAAGTGTTAACAGATTAACAGGATTTAGCATTTTTGTTCTCTTCCCAAGTAGCTTTTAGTTCCTTTACTCTTTACATACGTCACTATTCAGTTATTCCTTTGACCAGAGCAGAAACACCTCTTCCTTTGTTGACCATTCTTACATGTACGCAGATCTGGCACATCTTTAACCAAAAAAGCTCAAAGAGATGCTCTTTTTCCACGGTTGTATCTGAATGGATTTTCATGTAAATGTAAACAAATTGTAAACGTGTTAACAAAAATCAACAGTTATGAAAGATGAATGCAATGTTTTATATAACGCTGCAATATGTGCACAAAGTGAATCAAGATAAAGTTGTTCATAGTAGATGCGCACAGTATTTCAAAAGTAATTTCACATCCTAATCTCAAGTCCCTTGAATACGAGTCATACAGAATACACTTCAGCTTGTCACGAGAGAGAAGAACCTGCACCACAGTGTAAAGTGCACAAATACTTCGAACTGTAGTCATATGAAAAGAAATAAGAGTGTATCTAGGTTCAAGATTTGCTAAATAGAAAATATTTTTTTAGGTGTCATCAGATGTGCATTTTGTGTTTAGGGAAACGATCTGTTGTTTCAGAGCAGATTCACATGCAGGTGACTTAATCTTCTAGATATGTCTTTAGAGTGATGTAAACGTGACAAATAAACAATTTTTGTTCGGTACTTCCTAAAAACGTACTCTTCAACGTTGTGGGAAACATCCATCGGCAAAAAAAAAACATTGACAATACACAGCTGTGTCCTGTGCTACATATACACTTCCTTTCCCCAAATCAAATAAAAAAAAATCGGTTATATAAATACCTAAAGGGGAATATGCGCAAATGTACAACCATACCATTTTTTTTTTAATATAATTTCCATTCTGGCAATATGGAATCACTTTAAAGACATTCTTCTGAACCCACAACAGGTATGGCCAAAATTGAACAATGTTCTATGTATTTGCACATAATCTAAGCCTCGTATTAATATTCCTATTAATATTTTGTAACAACATTCATGGTGTTGACTGCCTTTGTGCTCCTTGTACACATTCACACTTGTGAGCTGTTCCGACATTATTTTTGACAGTTTCTCTCTACCTACTGAAATGACAGTGAGTGTACCTACATTTGAACTAACTTTGTGTTTTTTAAGAGCACGCCTCACATAATGTATCGTCAGCACAAGGATGTGTTAGGAGGTCGATTTAAACTGCGCAAGCCGGTCATTAGGACACAGTGTTAACAGGCAACATGCAAAAACTATTTGTTTTCAGCTTCTTTTAACTGAATATGACACAATTAAGCAATGAAAACAACCTTGGTGTAACAGAAAAACTTGAAAAAGAAAACTAGTGTTTTGAGTGTAAGCATTAGTGTTTCATCAGCAGCTTGATGGCTGAGCACTTCCTTCTTTGACATTTTTAGACCCACATGTCTTTTGACACATATATACACAGGAAGACAGAGCAGACTGGCTAAAAGAAATGAGAAAGAAATGGCCACTACAACACTTCGAATCTCTTCTTGTCCATCCAATCTGACCATAGTAGACTAGTAGAAGTGGACGTCATGGAAAATGCCGCCCTGTCAACCAATTTTGTTTCGGTTCTTCTCCACCATCTTTCATGGTCCTTATCCACAAGCATGAGATGGACGTCAAAGGAAGAAGAAGCAAAAGTAACGTGTTTTCCTTTAGAGGTAATGTTTCTGCCATCAATCGAGTAAGATGCACAGATCCAACCATAGGAGGAACGTGCACAGATACTGTACATATTGACTCTTCTCCTCAAGACCTATCTACATCTCTTAATTTAGCCTTTATAAAGCCTAGTTTCCCCTTTGTGCCTCTGCCAGCCGATAGTTCTTCCTCCTTTCTGCCACTCTGGTCAGTAGTTGGCCTCTGTGCAGGTGGAAGGCAGGAGGTTTTTTTGGGGGGGGGGTGGTGCTACTGGATTTGACAGGCTGTGGAGGGAGCAGCCTGGCAGCACATGCAGGTGGGGTTGACTGCTTTGGGGGGGATCAGATCCAGATCCTCGTCATCCGGGATCTCATCGAGCCGGTACCCATCCTTCAAGAGCTGGATGTTCAAGTCCTGGTTGATCTGCTGAGGATGCAAAAAGAGCAGTATCAGCAGAGCTTCGGGACAATTTTGGCAAATCCTTCAGCCGGGAGACTCCTTGTTGGTTAAATTAGTCTTATGTTAATTCCAAAAATCTTAATATAGGTGTTCAAAACAATGGTGATCCGAATAAATTAAATATTACAGAAACAGAAGGCAGCAGTGTATAGTGCAGGCAGATCAGTGGTGGCAATGAGGGGAATCAAGAAGCACAACATAACAAAATATATTCTACTCTAAGAGGAAGAAATGAAACAGGAATTTGGATATGACTTATGGAGAGATAATTACAGATGATTGTGACTATGAGTCCTCCGAGAAGACAGTATACATTTTTTCCAATGGGTGCACAGATACCTGGTGTGACAATGGAACTGGGTGATCAGGTGTTGATGTTTGGGGGTTCACCATATGACGCAGTGAAACAGTATAATGCGTGTATAGATACCTGGTCCCTCAGACATCTCACCTCGGCTGAGGAGTATCCTGATGACGAGTATCTGGACATGTCGAAGTCATCGTCACTGAGAGACAGGAGACAGCAGAAGTTAGACACAACCATATGACGGTCCAAACAATAGTAACATATGGTCACTTTTTTTAACGAGTAGTTCGGAGCAGCACATGTTGAGATATCCTGACTTTTAGGCGAAGTATAGGTAAGCCAATAGAAGGTGGCTCCTTCATTACCCATAATGCAATTCTGTAAGCTCTTTTGTCTTTCAAACTATGTGGTCCCAGTCTGTACTGCAGACTTTGTTTCAAATAAGTAGTATGTATGTATGAGGTTTTTCTTTTACAAAATGATAATATACAAAAGAAACTTAAAATGCAGTTGAAAAACACAACACAGACGGATCAGATATAAGTTATATAAATACATATTGAGAACATAACATTTGAATATTAGAAGACTTTAATCATTCAATAAAAAAACTGGAGTATAAAGATGTAAAGTCAGTCACTGTATATATATTTGTATTGTTAATAATTATCATAGTGAATAATAATATCTTTAATGTAACAGTGTAGAAAGATTTAGTAGCTTTTAAATAAGTGACTCCCTATCCATCCATATGTATGGGATATTTCAATAAGTAGGTGAGAAATTGTTTCTGTATTCTGTTTCCAAAAAGGTAATTCAAGGTTATTGTATATTTATTAATTTTTAACTTAGTTTTCTTACACATGATAACATTACAACCGTTTTCACAGACTGAGTAGTTAGACACATGTCCCTTTAAAGAATACTTTAAAGCTAACATGCTGTTGCCGTCTCTTGAGTCCTATGAAACGATTGGCTTTAACAATGAGGCTGAATGTTCACACTGTAGCGACATGTTCAACAAACTAGAGGCAACAATCAACCCTTTTTATTATAGATATGTTCCAAGAAGTAGAAATATCAGGCCAAAACCGCAAACAGGCTTTTTCCACTAAATGAGTAATCTGCCCTCGTCACTGTAAACAAACAGAACAGAGTGTCATTGTATAAAGCCTCTTCACTTGAAACTAAAATGTGGACAATAAACAAACGGGGGTCCTGTGTGCCAGAAAGCTTGTCAGAGGGTGTGTGCATGACGCAAGACATGATGCAAGCGTGGTTAGCTTGCAGAGTGCTCATTTCACATGAGAGAGTTTCCCTGGTGAGGACACAAAGGGTGGGACTCATCTGCGTCAAATGCAGACCTGCTGGTACAGAGTGGAAGGGAGCACACATTTCCCTCTGAGCCGCTTTTCCCCGTCCAAATCCTCACCCCGCTATCCGCTAATCCTGCGCCCTGGGAGAGGCTATACCCCTTTTTTAGGATCCCTTCTGTTAAGAACTCTCTCAAGTTGCTCTATGGATTAATGTTACCATGATGACAGAGTGAGACCTGCAAAACTACAAGATGGAACATGTCCTGTCCTTTTAGGTCAGCCTGACAAAGTTGTTTTTCATATAGTGTGATATTTTAGTGTTAGTAAATAATGTACATACCTGTCAGTGTCCAGTGCCACCAGGGGCTTCTCATCTGGGCTCTGGTCTAAAGACGAGTAGCCTTTATTTGGCACGACCAACCTGAATACGAGCACAGACAAGGAGACAGACGGACACAAAGAGGACAGATTTGAAAAAGCAATTTTCGCCGAGCAGTTAGATGCCTTCCTACTGAAACACACACTAACATACTTCCTAACATAGGAAGATAGGAACAGTATAATTGTACTGTAAATGTTGCTTTTCTAACGGGTCACAAAACATAAAAAATGGGGGCTAATCTGTAGCTTTCAGACTGCAGGCGTGTCTAGATTATCTTTTCCCTTCGGAGACTGAGTCCAGACCAGTCGGTAGCCTTTCTTATATTTCCACTAATCCACTGGGGAGTAGGATTAGACAGATGAGCCAGTTGTCAATGTTGTGGGTTGTACTGGGTTTATGCTCACCACTCGCACCCCCTTCCTCTCAACAGCTTTGTTGTGCGTTGTAGTAGTAGCATTACGAAGTCAAATGGCGTCTAATGACCCAAGCAGGTTGGCAGCTAATAACGGCTTCATTAGCAGGCCGAGCGCAGGTTACAATAACAAATTGCTTGAGATGCTAATGGATGCAAAGTGTAACATTTGTGCTGGAGGACACAACAGGAAATGAGCAGGCGGTGGACGCTGTTACCTTGTCCTGGAATTCTTCTTGGGCTGCTGATTGACAGGACTTCCCACAGTGCCATTCTTCACTGATCCCTTCCTGGCAAGATCCCTCTGTTTCTCTGGGCAACCACAGGATGTGAGGTCATCATCAAATGATTCAATACACCTCAACTTCAAGACCGTCAGTTGTGGATTATTTAGTTGAAAAAAACATTCAAATATGTTGAAAAGAAAATACTTTTCATTGTATCTGCTCTACAGCTGCTATGAATCATAGTCGAGTCTCTGTAGCCAGCACAGGCAAGACATTTGATTCATTATAAATGTCTTTTACAGGATGCAATCTTGAACATTTTTTTGAAATGCTGACTTCAGGGTTTCAGAAAACAATGTTAGTTGGCAATGTATTTGGAACAGAGCCCTTAGGAGTAAATAAAAACAAGGAATGTGGAGTGTGACAAGGCTTTCACAGTGTCGTGGCAGTACAAAAACAGTGGCAGCTCAGACATGTTATGGCACCTCTGACATGTAATACTCTCTGAACATTGTATGGTACTAGATCTATGTTTAACTGATGTCGAATAGACTGTCTGTGCTTGCTTTGACCTTTCATGATGTGCAACACAAATCTGCATACAGAGCTTTCTATTCTTTGCTGCTGCTCCTGTTCAAATGTAATTATAGTCAATGTAAAGGCATGTGATATATTGATTTGCAGCGTGTTTGTGATACCTATTTGGACTTGCAGTGGTGAGGGCTTGTAGTTCATGGCCACAGACTCTCCCTTTGTGTCAGGGTCTGCCTCTGAGGTGGAGGATGCAGCTGGGTCCTAAAATTAAAAGCAGAGGGAATATTTTTAACTAAGCATGAAAAAGTATATTAAATAAATGTACAACAGCTATCAATGTTACAGTGCTATGTATTAAGGTATCAATCAAGGATAGATTATGCAATACGATTTATGCAAAGTAAAGACATCTATACACGTCATAGTCTCTGCAAAGCGCCTTTATTTTGGAATTCATGAGGCACGTCGGGGTGACCATTTCTGTGAAAGCGCACCTCCTTCATGAACATCAAACAGTGCTTTAACATGAGAGTAGTGACACAGTATATATATATATATATATATACACACACACACATATACACATATACAGGAGGTATCTTTTTTTACTCTTTTTCTCGAAAATGATTGATTGTTTCTCATTTAAGTGTCTGGAAGAACCCAGTAATAAAATAATATTATATTTGCTTTTTGTGAGTTGATACAAATATATTTTTCCCAAATCGATCCCAGGCCCCTGAATTGGATCTAATCAAAATCGTATGGTAGCAGACTTTGTGATACCAGAATGATCGTACATTTATCCAAATAATCAATATATATTGCATCATAGGGACACTTGTGATTTACACCCCTAATAACAACGTGAACAACAAACATGTGACATCTTATTTTAGAACAATCTCATATATCTCAGATACATATCCTGGGGTCCTGTCTGTTCATAGACTACATTGTTTGCTAATTCAGAAGCCGACAGGAATATAACTTTGACCCAAGGCTTTAATACAATTCGAATCCACTTGTTCTATACTGTCATCTGGCACCTAAACACGGTCCTGAGGGAACACTCAACTCAAGAGCCACCATCTGATTCATCACCAGCTAGCAGTGGCCCAGATAGGCCACAAAATGAGCTCTTTTTTTAGGACCCGCATGTGTCCAATACCCTGGCAAGATTTCCCAGGCCTATGTGCAACTATAGCTGCCTGGCTTGCAGCATCAATAGGTCTGAGTGTTCTTTTATGTGTGAGCAGTGATGGCATGGGGAGGAGGCCGTGGGAGAACAGGGAGGTTGCTGTTGGAGCCACGGTTTCCCCAGATTGAGAGAGGGGAGCTGGGCCGCGCTAGGCCTGCTCCGTGACAGAGCTCCACATTATGTTGGTCCTACAGGCCTCCCCTTGTTGCACTCTGAGGGTCCCCAAAGGCCACATGGGCAAAGGCTACCGAGCATTTGGCTGTCAAACACTCTGTATTCTCTCCAGAGGAATGTCTGCTATATTTAAACGATCAAAATTAAATAACTGGAGCTGAAACTCAGAACGCTACAATTGAAAAATCACATGGGATCAGATCACTTCTCACATACTTGTATGCTATTTGTATTTATATATATATATTTTATGTATTTATATATATTTAATAATGTCAGATACAATCTATAAGTGTTTGATATCTATTTTAAAAAACACTTCTTCTTTTTTTTAATCATTCATCTTAAGTGTCTCTAAAGATTGCAGGGGGGTTGAGGGGATTGCAAAATAAAAAGGTCTAGAGATATTATAGGAATTCAGGCCAATTCCATGTGACCAATAAAGCTTATCCAATCTCACAGAGCTTGATAAAAAACGCATGAGTAATTAGCAGGGACAGTGAGAGGCTTATTTTGCATATCAATTTCCATGTGACACGTTTCAAAACAAGACGCCTGCCAAAAACAAAATCTGGTAAAACAGCAAAGCACCACACGGATACATGTAATGTCAAGGTAATGCGCACAAACAAAACATTTCACTAGAGCTGAATTGATTCTCAGAAAACAGTAGCCAACTATTTTGATAATGGTTTATTGGTTAAACAAATTACTCGTGCAAAAAGGGCAGCTGTTTGAGCTTCAAATATGGAGATTTCATGCTTCTTCTTGGTTTAATAACATCATTAAATCAATGTCTCTGGGTTTTGTAATGACAAAAGACTTCCTCTTGGACTTTGAGAAACTGGGCTGGATTTGTTTCACTATTTATGGATATTTGATAGACCAATTAATCTAGAAAATAATCAGCAGGTTATTTCGATGATGAAAAAAAGAGTCTGCTGTCAACCTTAGCAATTCGTCTCTTGTTATAAAAGAAAATGTCCCCACTTCTCTACAATATCGAGAGATGAATGACAGCTTGAAGTTTTTTTTCTTTAAACTGTGATCCACTAAAGCCATTCACCTTTAATGCATTCAATAGATGTATTCTAATCTAGCGATGAAGCATTGCTTCATCTAGCTGGAATAATGAATGAGAGCTGCAACAGTGAACTAGGAGCATGAAAGCACAGTGCACAGATGAGGCCTTCCCACTGTAACGAGCACACACACACTCTTTCTGTTCTGTGACAGGCGCTTCCCTTGGATCATTAAGGCTCACCCAAAGGATCTTCTTTTTCACACTTTTCTTCCACCATGGAGAGATACTGTGATGAGGTAGGGTCGAATTGTCTGTCAAGTAAATCCCTTTGAAATTATGCAGCAAAACTGGCGGTTATTAATGAAAGAGACGCAGTATTATGATGTCTGGGACAGAATTCACTGCCACTTCTTCAACATAATATGCATCCATTGCTGATACACACTAGCGGGGTATATCCCACAATAAAAAAACCCGTCTTAGGGATGCACCGAATATTCAGCAACCGAAAATTATCGGCCGAAAATGGTTAAAAAGGCCCTTTCGGCCGAAAAAATATCACCGAATGTCAGAGAACAGGGTTACGTTGATCATACTCCGCATATTTGTCCGGGTGTTTTGATTTCAAGTGGTGGAGTAAATCCCCGAAGTGGTGAAAGTCTTTGCAGTTACACCCCTGCGAAGAAATGTCAG